TTTTCCTTAAATGATTTAAGGAAATGGATCTGTCTAAAAGAGCTGCAGCCAAGTTGTTATAGCAACACAGGACTTTCTCCTTTAGGAAAAGGGGGGAAGTCACCCCTGAGCATAGAAATCTCTCAAAAAAGCTACCCTGAGGTTCTGAGGGACTCCAGGGGCAAAGGAAGGGGCAGGAGGGGGTCCATACACCTCCCACAGTCAGTTCCTGGGGATTCTTCTCAGCAATAGTCCTTGTCACTCACAAGTTCAGGTCTCATTGTCCTTCACATGGACAACTGCAATGAGCACTTAACAAGTCTCTCTTCTTCCTACTTAGTCTCACCTCCCTTGATCCACTCTCCACACTGCAGCCTTCGTAATTTTCTAAAGCATATATCATTCAACCTAATATTTCCTAGGGTGCCATGTTCTGTTCTACGTCCTAGATATGAATAGGCCATGTCCCTGAATGGCAGGTCAAGAACGTTGGCCTTTATCCCACAAGTAACGGGGAGTCATTGAAAGGTTTAAGCAGGGGAGAGAGACCCAGTGGGTTTAAGTTTTAGAATGACTCTAGAGTTTCTAGACTGGGAGACAGAGTGGATGTTAGCTCAGGGCTAACCTTCCTCAAAAAAAAAAAAAACCACTTTAAATCTGAGATCCAGTGCAGTCCCCAGAGTTAAACACTCCTTTGTCAAGATCATCATTTAATATCCCAGTCCCTGAGAGGGCAGGAGGGTTTGGTGAGCACAGGGCTAGGAAGGCAGCCTTCGAAGTAAACACCATCATTAAGACAGGACAGCAGCTCTTGTTGCCAGGTGAGAAGGACACAGAGGGCTTATTCCAGGAGACCCACAGCGCAGGTCGGACATACCACTCCTGCTCAACTTCAAAGTCAGCATCTGTAAGCTCACCCTCACGCTCACTGTTCCTTCTGCGTTCCCACATCCACTCCACCAGTGAAGCCAACCCACGGGCATCATGCAAGACTCCGTCCTCTCCCATCAGCCACAGTCACTAAGTCCCTCACGTCTCCCTCGGTAATATCTCGACTCCTCCTCCTTTCCAATCCTACAGCGGTAGGCTCTGATGGTCTCCAGCCTCTAGCCTGGCACCCTCCAAATCCATCTCCTTACAGTACCAGAGGGTACTTTCTGAAATGCAGAACTGGTCTTGTCACCTCCCTGCTGAAGATCCTCCAATGGCTCCCCATTCCTACCAGCACAAAGTCTGAATTTCTCCCAAATAATAACTTCTCCTCTGCCCATCTGTCTGCCCCCAGTACCAGCCACAGTGAACAACCTGCAGGCTCCTGAGTGTGCCTCCCCCTTGAGGCAGATGCACAGACGTCTCCTCTGCTTGGAAATCCCTCCCTGCCCTGGGCATCCTTCACAAATCAGGTCAGATGTGGCCTCCTGGGTTGGGCTCCTACAACCCAACCCCTGTGCCTCCCTCCACAAATGCACCTAGAATAGCTGTCTGTAAATGCCTGTCTCCACCATGCTGTGAACTCCTCAGGGGAGGGCACCAACCTGATTGATGACAGCGCCCACCACAGGCCTGAAGGAGTTCAGCGAGGAACACACTCAGATCTTGGAAGGTCTTGCTTGGAGTCTCTGCTTTTGATTCCGTGAGAGGAAGGCGACCGGGATGGAAGGAATGAGGCAGAGAGCACTTAGAAAGAAGGCCAGAAGCTGTCCTGGCGGTTCAGATGGCTTGGGGTTGAAGGATTACGATGATGTGAGCGACAGTGAAGGTCAGGAGTGGAAATACATTAAAGCTATTGGGCAGGTGCCTCTGGGCACTGCAGAGTTTGCAACCGGACACAAGCACTCCTGAAGTCAAATGTGAATTTGAATGAGAACCAAATAGCGTTTGTGGAGGCTCTGGTACACACCAGGTACTGCCCTAGACGCTGTCACGTGGCTTTTAAGTAGAGAGGCCATATAATTTATCAACCAAACTGGGACCCTTTTAATAGTGAAAGAAGGCACCATTAATAAGTATTCCAGGACACAGGTGTAAATCAGAACTGCCCGGGCAAGCTGAAACTTACAATCATCCTACCTATGGGTCACACGGTGGGGTTTTTTCTTTTTTCTGGTAACCCATGAAACCACTTGTAAATCTATATTTATCAGTATTTATTTGTTTGATGTTTATTTCCCCACTCGATTGCAAAGATTAGGGTTTTGTTCACTCTTACAACTGCACTGCCTGGTGTATAGAAACTGCTTGATAGATATTTGTGGAAAGAAGTGTTAAAGAGAAAACCACCAACCCAAAATGGCATCGCTTGTGCTAAAGTCCATGATACCAAACTTAGATTTAATACCTATCCTAATTGTAGTTTCTGACCTTCCCCAGAAATGTAATCTTAATCCACCAGTCTGAAATTTTCTTGTCAGTAGCAATGAGGTCATCTGTCCCGTGGGTTCTCTCCATACCACCCCCACCCAAGAGAGAAAAGGTGATCTGCATGATAAAACCCTTGCCAGTCCCTTCCCCCAAAAGAGAAGATGTTCTGGCCCCAAGTAATCTCTTCTTTCCTTTTGCTAATAACGTCCTTCCTATCAAAACTTTCCATTTTGCATAACTCCTCAGAGTACCTCTCTACTTGATAGATGGAATGCTGCCCTATTCACAAGTTGTTTAATAAAGACAATCAGATCTTCAAATTTACTTGGTTGGAATTTTGTTTTTTACCAGAGGAAAGAAAGAATGCTGTAAAAGATTGGGCAAGGAGAGAAGGAGGGGGGAAGAGCAGAGGAGACGGAGGGAGCTGAGATCCTGTTCCTGGTTAGCTTGACTCTCATATTGGTGCTCGGTGTCCTCACCTGGGGACTAAAGGAGTGGACTTCCACAAAGAAAATGGCTTACACAGCTAGCTCAGTAACCACATGTGCTTATAAGATCCAACCTTTTCATAGCACAAAGTGTGTCCTACTATCTTTGTAACTCAGTCTTGCCTGATGTTCTGTAACATGGACGAGGGCCCAGTTGATTGTGAGCAAACCAATGACTTTTGAGTGACGATGGCAATGGCAGGCTGAGGCCTCTCCTCTTTAGCAAACCTAACCCCTTCTCTTTGGTTCCTCGCCCATGCCCCCACCTCCCAGTTTTCTCCTCGGGGATTCACCTAAAGCACTGCTTTGTCCAGTGGCTCCCACTCTGTCATTTCTCCTGCCCCATGTCTTTTTTTTTTTAATCGTACCTCCTTGTTCTCTCTATGAACAACTGTTTTGTGTCTATAAACCATATTCCATTGGGCATAACAGGATTTGCCATGTTCAGTCCAATTCAATTCAACAAATAGTTATTGAATATCCATTATCAGCCAGATCAGAAAAAATGTAGGGGCTGTTCTCTTTAAGAAGGAGGTGGCGGAAGAAGGGGGCCTTGTGATTCTATCAGAGAAAATGCAGTCAACACAGAAGGCTGGGGGGCAGAACCCAGGGGACAACACATACTTCATGAGGAAAACAGAAGGGGCCTCTCTCTGCCGGGAAAACCGATCAGGCTGGCATCAGGAGTTCAGGGTAGTAAAGGGGTTTGGTGAGCACTGTTAACACCTTCTTTTGTAGACAAGGAAGGATGAACTGGAGAAGGAAGCAAGTACACCAAAGCTACGGCTACATAAGCACTGACGTGGCAGGTGGGCTAGAAAAAGACCTAGGAAAGCAGAGCTCACATAGGAGGATCAAGATAGCAGCTGAGTTGAGTTGAGATAACTATATTGCACCAAAAGATTTACTTTTCCGTGAAGCCTTGCTCTAACATACGCATTTGTTTCTAAGTATACATTTTTGTCTGGTCTGTCTATATATTGCTCTTTAATTTAGGATATTTTTATTGGCATCTTCAAAGAGAGTAAGTGGAATGAGTTACATTGACACATCTCTGAAAAAGTCCAACACTAGGACCTCTGCTATCTTAGCAGTCACTATCTGTCACCTGATGACAGTCAAGGGGTCAGGAAATCGCAGTCATCAAAGTTGGAAGAGACTCAAATGTAACCTCACTACAATTCTCCCAAACAATGCAGTCTCCTCTATGCACCATTTTTGACGGTGTCATTTAGCTTGAATTTGAACGCTTTTAGTAAGGCAAAGTTCATAGCTTGCACACCCACTCCATCCTCAGGCAGCTCCACTGTCACAAAGTTTTATGTCTCTATAGGCCTTCCCTCTTCCTTTGGCCTCCACCTGGAAGACGTCTGTCCTGTTCTCTCTGACCGCTCTTCAGAGACAGAATGATCGTGGTCTGCCTCCTTTCTCTGAGCTATGAAACCACAGTGTCTTCTGTTTCTTATAAAATCTTGCCCCTATGAGCAAACTCAGTGTGGATACCCATTGTTCCCCTTCTTTCTGGCTTAGCAGGCCCTCTTCTCTGGGAACAGTTTCACCACTGCCATCACACCCCACAAGTCCAACCATGGGGTTCCAGTGACACTGTCCTGTCCTTACCTATCCTTGCCTCTTGGGCCAGAGTTGACTTGCCCAGAGGTGGGCATGTACTCCAGTCTAGGCCAATCACAGTCCTTTTGGAACTGGAACTAGAATGAGAGTATGTCACTCTCTAGTGGTGGGAGCCACTGGATTCGACCCTTGGCACACGTTCCCCCCAAGTGGAGGAGGCCAGTCTGCAGTCTTCAATTATGTGAGATTCTCTGGTACTCTTCCTACAAGTTCCCCAATTCGCTTAAACTAGTTCAAGTTGTATTTCTTTTGCATGTAACCAGAGCCATGACAAATGTGAATCTGGTCAGTGTATTTCCTTCGTCCCACAAGACCTCTACAACCGAATCCCATATTCGTGAGGGGTGGGGGAGAAGAAGGGATTGGGAGAAGGTAGTAGGTCTGTCCAATTCAGAAAAGAGATCAGCGGGCCTAGCCCCTCCCTGGTTTTGACCCTGTACTCCTAATTTGCAGCTCCTAGTGGACTATTCCAGGACAACACTGCCCTTTCCCAGATCAAGCCAGAAGACCAGCAGCTGCTGAGGGGATGCAGTTACTCACAGGGTCGTTGTACATCTGGACGATGAGCTGTTTCACTCCATGCAGGGTAGGGTGTGCCCATGGAGAGGGATCCAGCCAGTGACGGTTCAGGTCAAACCCCATCAGAGAGCACCTAGGCAGTACCCAAAGTCAGAGTCAGTATAGACCAGACAAGCCAAGCTTCCCGCCTGTCAAAATACAGTTCGGAGTAGGGGCAGGCATCACGTCACTTACCTAGCACTTATACTTTGCCAGAGACACTTCTGAGCATTCTATGTGTATTAACTCATTCATCGCTTTCAACAAACCTGTGAGGTCACTACTATTATAATTCCCACTTTGCAGAAGAAGAGACTGAGTCTCAGAGAGGTTCAAAAATATTTCAGTGGAGCAGTTTCGCTTCAGTGTCCCTGCTCTGGGACCACAGACACACACACATCTCCTATACAAGGCAGTGGAAAGAAATACTCAGGCCCAAATCACTGCTGTCCCCATTATTCCTCTCTGTCTCACACCCACAGCTAATCCACTGTCTCTACCTTCAGAATATATACAGACCCAACACCTTTTTATCACCTCCACTGATAACACCATGAGCTTGGACCAGGGTCCAGAGTATTGTAATAATGTCTTACCTGGTTTTCTTGTTTCCACCCTTGCATCCTCCCACCCCACCTCTCACCCTACCTCCCCCCCCATTTTCCACAGAACAGCCGGGGTGATCCCTTGAGAACATAAGTCAGATCACGTCCTGCTCTGACGGTTCCCTGCTAGATGTGGAATAAAAGCCGAAGTCCTTACAGCGAGCTACGCACTCCTTTGTGGTCCACCTCTGTTAACCTCTGACCTCAGCTCCTACCACCATCCTTCTTGCTTCCTCTGTGCCAGATACTGGCCTCCTCCCTGTTCCTCCAACACGCCAAGTGTGTCCTGCCTCAGGCCTCTTGTGCAGGCTGTCCCCTCTGCCTGGAATCCTCTTCCTCCAGATTTCTGAGTGAGTGACTCATTCTCACTTGTTTTAAATCTTTGCTCAAATGTCACCTGCTCAGTGAAGTCTACCCTGACCTTCTCCATATTCTCCCTTGGGTGCCCTAAGGAGGCGTGTCTTGGGCTCTCCTCCTCTCCCTCTTCCTCCTTCTCTTCCTCCAGATCTGCTGGAAGCCTGCTGGTACTCGGGAAGAGATACCTCCTGCAGATCTCTGGCCCCGGGGCTCCATCTGCCCAGCCTTCGCAGATGGTTCTCTCCAGGCCAGCCAGGCTAAGACCCTGTGCTTGCTCACAATCCAAATTACCACTCTCCTTCTCTCTAATCCATCCTCCTCCTGTCTCCAGACACTCTCCCACTCAGATCTGACTATCTTGCTTTCTTGATCAAGATTTATCTATGTTTCTCCATCACCTATAGAATAAAATTCTGCTCTTTGCGGATTTTTAACTAGATTTAAAACTGATGGCGGCTACATCCCTCTCTCTTCTTTCTCTGCCCAAAGTGTCCCCTTTTTCTTGTCTATCCCTCTGTTCCACTATTTCACCCCCCGAATCTTATCTTCCAAGCCCCTCTCTCTATTTCCTTAAGCAGTACAATTTACCCCCCTCTCAGCTCACTAAGTTTGCATCCTCACCTATCACTCTACTCAGAAAAGTAAAGGACTCTCCTGGGGACCCACCTCTCCTTCAAGATGGTTGGGGTGGGGGTGGGAGGGTAAGCAGTAAAAATTTTCCCTTATGGCTTTAAATAAGCATTGTGGGAGCCATGAGGAGAATAACTAACGTTTCGTGGGGACGGGCTTCAGTGAGGAGAAGCCTTTGAGTTGGGCCTCGCTGAATGAGCAGAACTTTTCCAGGTGCTGGGGACAGAAGGAACCACCCAGGATGTCAGGGGAATGGTGGGCAATTTGGTTTGACTGAATCAGAGTATGTGGTGAGGCGGCGGTGATGGTGAAGCTGTAAAGGGAGATGGGGTGAAATGTGAAGGGCCTCGAATACCCAGCAAGGAGTTTCATTATTTTGTCTTTGCATCGCTGTGTTTAGGTCGATGAAGTGCTGACGTTGTCTTCTCACTGATTGCAAAGTGAGAACAGTGATAGCCCTGCATACAGCTTTTAACAACATCACCATGACAATCAAGGGACACAATCAACAGAACACATACTGACATTACTTTGTGCCAAGAATTAAGTACTTTACTAAATACAAATACTTTCTCTAAGGTAATCCTCCCTAAGTGAGGGAGGTGCTATCCTTTTTCCCATTTTGCAGACGTGGAAATGGAAGCACAGAGAGGTTATAAATTTGCTTGAGAAAAGAGTTGACATCAGGGTTGGGCCCACACTGTCTGACCACAACCTTGAGCTCTTAGCTCATTTACCTTATTGTAATAACAGCTGTCATTAGTATGTACTTACTGTGTGCCAGGCCCCGGACAAGTCCTTTCCATGGGTTTTGGACACACACAGAGCAGTTGTGTTACTTTTGGACTATTGTTTATAAATCTAGCCCTCTACCCTGGCTCTTTCCACTGTAGCAGGTATCAGAGTTGGGGTGAAAACCAGGTTGTCTGAATTCTCCACCCAGGGCTTAATCATGGGTTCCATGAACCTCAGACATCCAGGTTGTCTTCTCCTTTATGCTTCTGGTGTCAAAGAAACAGTAAATCCTAAAGAGTATGAATTCATCCCTGCTTGCTTTCTTCTCTCTCCTTCTTCCCTGTGGCTGTCCCTTTTCTCCCGTCACAGAAGACAGACTGGAGGCTGGCCCAGTGGCACAGCAGTTAAGTTTGCACGCTCTGTTTCCGCCACCCAGGGTTCACCAGTTTGGATACGAAGCATGGACCTATGCACCGCTTATCAGGCCATGCTGTGGCAGGCATCCCACATGGAAAATGGAGGAAGATGGGCACAGATGTTAGCTCAGGGCCAATCTTCCTCAGCAAAGAGAGGAGGACTGGCAGTGGATGTTAGCTCAGGGCTAAGGGCTAATCTTCCTGCAAAAAAAAAGAGGACAGACAGGCCAGATGCTCCCTCTGTGACCTGGTAGCCTGGGCAGCAGCAGGGAACCCAGCCTTAGACCTCAGCCACTCCCGCCCAGGACTTAAACTTGGACTAGGTCATGCAAGGCTGCAGGGTAGGTCTTATGGCAGTGCGACCATGGAACAGAGGGAGGTTATTCCAGCCAACAGCCCAGTTGTCTGCCTCCAGAGTGACTCTGCTAACTGTTTTCCAAGTCTGGCCCTCCAGCTTCTGCTTGATTCTGTAAGCCCCTTCCTATAAATTCCCTTTTTCTTAAGTGACTGGAGTCAGTCCTTGTTTCTTTAATAGAAAGCATCCCTAGCTGTATGGTCCTGTGGGCTAATTTATAGAAAACTCCAGCAGGCCCCTGTATTGTCCACTTCCCAAAGGCTGGTCACCAAGCAGATGGAACTACTGGTCTCGGTGCTGTGCTGACAGCTCTTCCAGCCCCCGCTGAGCATCGAAAAATTTGGAAAGGAACATTGTTGTTGATAAGAGGACTTAATCAGAAACAACTGCATCCTAGAGATGGTTAGTTAACCGCCTCTCCTCTGCTGCCAAATAAGACTACTCTCAGCAATATCTTGGCCAAGTCACCAGCTTACTCCAAGACACCTGTATGATTTGGAACTCACAACCGCCCCAGGCAGCTTATCTCAATCTTGAACAGCTCCATTAGGAAAGTCTTCCTTCTCTTTAGCTGAAATTTGTCTTCCGGTGACCTCTTTTTACCAGCTCAGCCTTGCCCCATGGAGTCACACAGAACAATGGAGCTACATTGTAAAGACCAGGGGCTTTAGAAGTCACAGTTAGGTTAAAGTTTTGGCTGTACTCCTTACCAGCTGTGTGACCTTTGTGAAATTTCTTTTTTTAAAACCCATCTGGGCTTCTGCTTTATCATATGTATAATGAGGATAACAATCTTGACCTTCTGGATTGCAGATGTACATGAACCAATGTCTGTAAATGGCCCAGCAGAATCCTCAAAGCAGAGTGAACACTGAATAAATGGTAGCCAGTGATGACAGTGGCGGTAGTGGTGATTGTGGGTTTGTTGAAATTGTCTAAACCTAAATATAATCTCCTCTGGGAAGGCTTGCTGATTTACTGTCTGCAAATATGGAATAGGTGCTTTCCCTCTGGTCCCAGAGCATCCATGGCTCCCCTCATTGGAGTGGCTATAGCACAAGATGTAGCAATGGTTGAGGCTGTCTTCCCCACTGGACTGTGAGTTCCTCAAGGGCAAGGATTTCTTATTCATGTTTGTACTCCTGTGCCTGACAAAGAGCCTGGGCCACGGCAGACACTGAGGTAGTTGTTGAATGAACATTTCATTCTTTCCCAATCTCATTCATTTCCTATCTTATATGATATGGTTCTCACAACCATCCAGCCACACAGGTGGATTCCATTTTTCAAGTGGGAGCATTGAGGGCCAGAAACAGTAAGCCATTCCTTCAAGGTCACCTCACCAGTACTTCACCAGAATCCAGATGTCCTAGCCCTGTGCCCCATGGTCTTGCCACTTGGCCATGCTGCTTTCAGGAACCCTCTTTGATTAAAAAGAGCGAGATTCAAAACTGAAGGAAAAGTGTTACAGGTGAGATATCCTAAAGAGTCGACTCTTTGATCCAGCCTGCTGATGAAAATAGACTGTGGCTGGTGATTCAAAAGCAACTCAACCCTCAAAGAATCCTAGAGCTCTTTAGAAGCCAGAGCATTTGTGAAATTCTTTAGTGAGTAGTAAGTGTGCTGGGTACTTTGTGAGCTGATTTTAAAGAATCCTTCTAATGGCAACCAGTCTATCAGCAGGTAGACGTTTACTGAACAAAATGTCTTAGTAAAGATGCAGGAACCCTGGCTAGGGACCAGGGAGACAGGCCTCATTTCCTACATCTATATCATCTTGAGAAAGTCGCCTCCCTTCCCTGGGCTCCATGCTTTTCTTTGTAAAACGAGGGGATTATACTTCACTCATGGAGGTCTCTTCCAGCTCTCTCATGATAAGATTCTAAAGCATCAATAACTGAGTTCTACCCTGAGAGTTAGGGACTTACAGTCAGGACACATTTACAATAAATTTAAGTTAAAATACAAAGAAAACAAAATATTCTAGAAAAAGGAT